AGGAAAACGACCTACAACTCCAGAGCACGGCTACTCAGATTTCAGAAGAAAACTACCCTCAGGGAGGAGGCCGAGGACGTTTGAATGAAGGGACTGAGTAGCGAGCAGTTTTAAGAAAATGAGGGACATCAGGGCACCTGACCCAGTCACAGAGAGAAGCTGTTACCACAGTCAGGTCTGCAGGCACAAGGGGGTGTGTACTGTCCCGGAGCCAGTAGGCACGTCCTGCACAACTGTGGCGCCAGGATCCCCAGAACCAGGGACACCACAGAAGGAAGGCCAGCAAGGGCAGGAGGAGGGGATGTCCCACACAGTCTCCATCTCCCTCTCTCCTCCCAGCTGGCAGTCAAAGGACAGGGGAGCCCAGGTGACGTCATCTACAGGTGTCAGCCTGTCCAGGAAGAGTGGAGCAGAGAGGAGGGGATGGATGGGCGTAGGTGATGGAAACACTAACAGTGCAGGGAATGAAACTGTAACACTCACAAGTGCACTACTGAGTTGTTCCCACAGACAGCAACCTTGGCAGAATCTGAGATTGATATTGAGGGTTGGAGTATGGTTTTTACCTAGGATGTGGGACAGGGGTAAATAAGGGACGCTGAAGAGTCTACATGGTAAGTTACTGGACTGATAAGTTTATTTTTAAGTGATCTGAGAAAATTTGTTTCCTCTTTCTCCTACTACTGTAGTCTTTTTTTTTCAGATGGGGGTAAGAAGGCTCTTTTTTAAACTTTTATTTAACAAATATAAATTTAACAAATATAAAATTACAGTGGCTTCCCTCCCGCCCCCCACCCCCAACTTCCCTCCCACCCGCAACCCTCCCATCTCCGGCTTCCTCTCCCATTTCATTCACATCAAGATTCATTTTCAATTATCTTTATATACAGAAGATCAATTTAGTATATATTAAGGAAGGGTTTCAACAGTTTCCACCCGCAGAAACACAAAGTGTAAAGTACTGTTTGAGTACTAGTTATAGCATTAATTCACATTGTACAACACATTAAGGACAGAGATCCTACATGGGGAGTAAGTGCACAGTGACTCCTGTTGTTGACTTAACAAATTGACACTCTTGTTTAAGGTGTCAGCAATCTCCCCGGGCTCTTGTCATGAGTTGCCAATGCCATGGAAGCCCCCTGAGCTCGCTGACTTTGACCTTATTCCGACAAGGCCATAGTCAAAGTGGAAGTTCTCTCCTCCCTTCAGAGAAAGGTACCTCCTTTCTTTCCACTGGGATCTCACTCGCAGAGATCTTTCATTTAGGTCATTTTTTTTTTTTTTTTTGCCAGAGTGTCTTGGCTTTCCATGCCTAAAATACTCTCATGGGCTCTTCAGCCAGATCCAAATGCCTTTAGGGCTGATTCTGAGGCCAGAGTGCTGTTTAGGACATCTGCCATTCTATGAGTCTGCTGTGTATCCCACTTCCCATAATGGATCATTCTCTCCCTTTTTAATTCTATTCATTAGTATTAGCAGATACTAGTCTTGTTTATGTGATTCCTTTGACTCTTAGACCTCTCATTATGGTCTATTTTGACCTGAAATTGATCACTTGGACTAGTGATCAATTGGTACATGTACTATTGGTACATGCCACCTTGATGGGATTGTATTGGAATCCCCTGGCACATTTCTAACTCTACCACTTGAGGCAAGTCAGCTTGAGCATGTCCCAAATTGTACATCCCCTCCCTCTCTTATTCCCAGTCTTATATTTAACAGAGATCACTTTTCAGTTAACTTTAAGCACCTAAGAATAATTGTGTGTTAATTACATAGCTCAACCAATGGTATTAAGTAGAACAAACAAAAATACTAAAAGGGATATAGTATTAAATTGTACATCAACAGTGATAAGGGCTGATCAAGTCATCGTTTCTCATAGTGTCCATTTTACTTCAATAGGTTTCCTTTTTGATGCTTGGTTAGTTGTCACCGATCAGGGAGAACATATGATATTTGTCCCTGTGGGACTGACTTATTTCACTCAGCATGATATTTTCAAGGTTCCTCCATTTTGTTGCAAATGCCTGGATTTCATTTTTTTTAACTGCTGTATAGTATTCTATGGAGTACATGTCCCATAATTTCTTTATCCAGTCTACTGTTGATGGGCATTTGGTTTGATTCCAGGTCTTAGCTATTGTGAATTGAGCTGCAATGAACATTAAGGTGCAGACTGCTTTTGTGTTTGCCACAATTGACACTCTTGTTTATGGCGTCAGTAATCTCCCTAGGCTCTTCTCATGAGTTACCAAGGCTATGGAAGCCTTTTGAGTTTGCCAACTCCAGTCTTATTTATACAAGGTCATAGTCAAAGTGGAAGTTCTCTCTTCCCTTCAGAGAAAGGTACCTTCTTTGATGGCCAGTTCTTTCCACTGGGATCTCGCTCAGAGATCTTTCATTTAGGTTTTTTTTTTTTTTTTCCAGAGTGTCTTGGATTTTCAATTGTATTTCATCTGAAAGTGAACTTAGGAACCAATAATAATAATTTTTCTAGTTACCCTGCAAATGATCAATATAGATTGAACATACGAGCTCATGTAATAGAAAATGTGAATATATATTCTAATGGTTAGCATGTGAGCCCATAATCATTTATTTCCATTGTTATATTATATGTACTCATAATTCATTTGTTCATTCATATACCACACCCTATTTTACTCACTTTTCAGACAGAAACTATGAAAATCCAGTCTTGAGCAACTGTATGTTCTTCCCCCTTTGCACCAGATGTGAAAGCTATACAAACACAGCTGGGTTGGCACCCTTGTGCAGATGGCTTCGTTGGGACTTCACTGTGTTACTGTGTCTGCCAGGGAGTGAGTGTGTCAGGGATGTGACTACCACTATTGGAAAGGCCTCAGAGCGGCTTTGTGTCTCCACATCCATTCTTCAGCTGAGTTTCAGTGCAAGCAGGGTCAGCTGCCTTGGAGAGACTGAGATGAGAGGACCCCTCAGGACCCGAATAGTGCCAGAGCCAAGCAGTGGCCCCTGCAGCTGACAGGCAGCAATAACCGCTGGCTGGGAAATTGCTGGGAAAACATGAGGGTTAGGGTCGCCCAGGTCTTTTCTAGTGAACCATTCCAGCAGTTAACACACCGCCACTTTGACAGTAATTTTTTCCTGTTGAAAAGATATGGGGTTATTTTCTAGACCTTGTCCTATTTAAAATCTTTTTAAGAGGTAGAGAGACAAAGAGTAAGAGAGGTAGAAATAGAGAGCTCCCATCTGCTGGTTCATTACCCAAGTGCTTGCAATGGCTTGGGTGCGGAAGCCCAGAGCCATGAACTCATCCCAGGTCTCCCAGGTGTATGGAGGAAGACCAATGTTTTTGAGCCATCACCAGTGCTTCCCAGTGTGTACACTGGTAGGAAGCCAGAATCAGAAGCTGGAGCCATTCAAATGAGGGATTTGAATCTTAACTGCTAGGCTAAACATGTACTCCCTGGTCTTTTTATTTATTATTTTTTCTTTTTTATTGTTTGAGCATGATGGATTTGGAATGTAACTAGGTGAGAAAAGATGTTTTCTGCCTAATTGCGGTAAATCCTTGGGTATCTCAAGATATTCTGAGAGTCTTCAGTCTTCACTTTGGCTTTTCTAGAGAATGTAACCCGAGTTTTCTCTGCCTTCTTAATTTTTGTGTTAGTCCTCAAGCTAGAAAATTTTCTAAAATATGTAGATTGATTGGCTTTTCTTCTACTGTGCTAAATAGGTATTTAAGTTTACAACTTGAACTCATTTTAATTTTTTTAAAAATAAACTCCTTATGGCTTTGCCTCATTGTCCATGGCAAATAATAGCTGGGCCGGCAAAGGGTGCTGGATGCCATTTGCGGAAGGAAGTGAAAGTACTCAGCTCTTCCGGAAGTTTGCACACAGGGCCCAGAGCCTGGAACTCAGGCTTAAGGGGCCGGGCTGAGGGGCCTCAGGACGTGCAGCATTCAGGAGCAGACACCTGTCCTGGGTACCGGAGGCTTGGGAATGGCAGCAAGAGAGGAGCTTGGCCCCTGCTCCCCCACGGGAGGGGGTGCTTGTATGCTTCCTGGCACGTGTGGGCTCGTCCACTGGCATACCGAGGACAGCTGGCTGTTTCCAACTCAAGGCCACCACAGGCCCTCCCGGCTTTTGCTCTCCTCTCCTCCATCTTTCCCTTCCTTTTGCTCACATACTACATCTCCCTCTCCTCTTGTTTGTTTTTTTAATCTCATTTTGAAGGACCACATCCCAGATATGAGCATGCTCTATTCACATTTGTTTTGATTTCTTCCAAAGTGGTAGCTTAATGGGAGATGTCCTTTTGCCTCATGATTATTTCCTGTGACATTGTGTACATGGGAAAGGGACTGCACGGGCGTATCCCTCCCCTATAGAAGGACCCCCTGAGTCTTGCCTGCCTACTGCGGAGCACCTTACGGGGAGGGGTCAGGTTCAGGTTCTGACCACTGCTGTGGCACATGCCTGTGCAGAAGTCAGAATAAAATCCAGGGGCAAAGGTCAGGTCTTGTGTGTGGCCCTGCCTTGCTCTAAATATAGGGATTTAGTGGAGCTGCTTTCCTCCCTGGGACATAAACATCAAGAGAGGACAGGCAGGAAATAGTCTCACTCACGATGAGCCTGCCTCCCCAGAGCTGCCTCTGCAGGGCTCGCGTCACATTTGCAATTGGTCCCTGGCAGGTGGCTGCCCTTATTGGACAATTAGTTAAGGCCAAATATGAAAAGCTCATGGGTCAGTAAGTTCCACTTGGAGGGGAGATGAAGGTGTCAATAAATTTGATCTCCACTGCTAGGTCATGCTGTGAGCTGCTTGGGAAGAATGACCTCCTGACCCGCGGGCAGCCATGTCAGGTCGTTTGAATGAATGGAGACTAAATGATAACAATAACACATGATATTAAGACAATGGATTAGAAAGTTTAAAATTCTCTCATGGGCCCATATGAATGGTGTGTATATTAAAGTTCATCTTCCTCACCTCTCTGGCCCTAGTGGACACAGCCTGAATCTTCTGTGTGTCCCACGACTCTAGTGGACCCAGCCTGAATCCTCCCGTACTGGAAGCTCCCTGGGTGCATCGAGAGGCCCTGAAGTGATGAGCTGCCTGGTGCTGATGTGCACCTGCGTGGGCACAGATAAATCCTGGGCAGCTGGTGTGTGCTGATGTGCAGAGGTAACGAATCTAAATGTGCCACAGTTAGCTTGCTGTCCTCACTTATATTAAAGGATGACTCAGTTTCCATTTATTGTACATTGAATCTACCATGTCAAACTATGCTTTAATAAACTTAATGTCACCAACTGAAGACCAGAGTCGGGTTGGAAGTGAGAAGTGAAGTTACTGGGGTAGGGATAGAGGAAGTGTTTCGCAGAGCCAGGCCTTGCCGGGTGCTTTTCTGGGTTCTGTGAGCCCAGTGTTTCCGTAGTCACCTGTGCAGATGAGCAAAGAGGAAACTCGTTTTCTTCCTGCACCTGAGCCTGCCTGCCTTCCTTCCCACTTGTCCTCTTCCTACTCCCCTTCTATCACAGAAAATATGTAATTACGCACAACGAGCATGACTTTGTCAAAATGCAGTGTTGTATTTCTTTTTCCCAGGTGCCTTCTTAGTGTGTGTGGATGCTAACCTGTTCCCTGAATACTGCATGGCATGCTAACAGGCGCTGCGACTTCTGTTCCACTCCCAGGCACCTGAAGTAGCACATGCCACCTCAGTGTAGTGACCGTGATGTCCAGCCACCATTTCAGACAATTCCAGAGCTTTAATTCCTTGTCCAGTTCAGGCCAGAGGTCACTCTCTGCTGACCTTGAGGAGGACAGTCTGATAGGCCTCTGCCTCCTTCTCTCCGGCCATGCTCTGAAGACATCTGAGGAAGCTTGGAAGGTCTGAGGGGAGTGGGAGGCAGAACTCTGCCCGGCTCTGGGGTCCAGCTGACTCTGTGCCACAGGACGCTCTCAACAGCTTCCCGGCAGTTCATTCCCCTAGGGGCCCAGTTTCCACATCTCCCTGGCTCCTAGTGGATACATCTTTATTCACCCCTGCTGTGTGTGTGGCCACCTCTGATCTCCCCTGCTGCCCCAAGACTTTGCTTTTGGCTTCCAGGCACTGAAGTCCACCCTCCAGCTCAGTCCTAACAGTGTCCCATCTGTCGCTTCTCTGTCTCTGCACCTGGCCCACGTGTGGCCCTCAGGGAACGCCATTCCTTGCCTCCCCAAATCCTGGAGCACAGGCCCACCCAGTGCAGCTGCTCTCCTGACTCAGCCTGGTCTAGCTTCCCCCATGCACATAGGGAGGGAGGCCAGACTCAGTCCCAGCTTTCTGTAGTCCTGTGGGGGTCCAGCTCCCACCAGACTGGCGTGGAGGAAGAACACAGAGGAAGAGGAGGAGGGATGCTTAACCCTCCTCAGAATCCCAGGAAGCATCTTGAAACTCGTAACTCTACGCTAGGCCCTCCATTTGATCCCTGAACTGGCTGAGTGGTCCAGGAGCAGTACAACTGTGTCCATTTCCTTTGTAAATTATGCACCTGGAGATCTGACTTCGGATTTCCAAACTCATGTTTTCTGTATTTGAGTGGCTTTGTTTAACCCTCAATGTTAACCCTCCTTTTTTGATTGCATGGACTACAACTTGGGAGTCTCAGGGTAAACATTCAAATGCAGGACTCACTCTCTCTTCTTACCCTTTTTGCTTTTTCCTCACGGATGGGATGAGCAGGTCAACGGGACTCATAAATTGTTCTGTCTGTGAGGGGAGAAGTCTTGCTCCTGGGGTCCTCCGTTCCCACTGGCCTCTGTTAAATGTAGCCAGTCTAAGCAACCTTGTCCTATTTCTTTCCTTCATGGTACCTGCAGTTGAAGCTATGTCACTTTTGGGTACCTGGTTTAAATATCCAAATTTTTCCAGAGAGGGCCCTTTGGAGACCCTGGTGCCCTCAGCCAGTCTCCTTGACCTGCTGCCTGCCCTTCTCTCAAGTCTTCCTGCACACCGCTGAGGCACGGGAGCTGCAGGACAGCCAGTGTGGAGGCTCCACGTGGGCATGTCTCTAGGACAGCTGCTCCCCAGCGCTGATGGTCAGCATTGCAGAGGCCACGCCTCTAGGAGGCTCAGAGAACATCAGGGCAGTAGTCGCTGTGCTTCCACTTCAGCAAACCGTGTGGGTGTTTCTCTCGCTCATCCCAGCTGCATCCCCTCTGAGGCTCATTCCCCAGGTCAAAGCTAGTCAGGCCTCCCAGTGCCAACCCCCGATCCTGCCCCTCTGCGATTTCATGGACTGGATCCTGGGCTGCAACTGGTACCCTGCCAGAGGGTCACTGGTATCTTCTCAAGGACTCAAAGTCTGGTCACCTGAGCTTCTGTTTTCCTGTGATTTTCTCGATATCTGCCCTTTCCTAAGGCATAGTCCTCTATCTGGAGGTCCAGCCTTTGGGAGAGAACGGCAGGCTTGGGAAGGTTAAGGAAGAAAGAAAACACACCAGGCAATTTCAAAATATTCTATCCCAGTACTGCACTGCTTCTCTGTTGAGTCATTCAATGTCTTTGAAAAATGTGTCAGTTGACAAATGATGAAATAACCGGGAAGATAAAATGAATTTTACCTCAAAGTTCCTGCTCATTTATTACAAAATAAGTCATCACATTCGCTCATTATCAGAACATCTTGCTTATCTTCAATTTTTATTTCTTTCCCAAATCCTAATACGAGCCATTTTCCTCTTCTATAATGGAGAAAACACCATTGGAGGTTGCTGTCCTATCACGGAGTGCCCTCTGGGAAACATAAAAGACAAGGCTTTTTAAGGTAGAAATGAAAAGGAGCTCTCTGAAAGCAGGTCTTTCATCTTTTTATGGGGAATTCTCTGTCAGGCTGACTTCCGGAAACATCTTTCATCTTCGACTCAACAAGCCATCTTCACCTCTCCCTCAAACCGGAGATTAAGCAGATGGAAATGCGTGGCTTGTGTGTTTCCCAGGGATTCCCTCGTGGGGATGGGCAGCAGCACCTCAGATGAGCAGGGCTGCAGAACGTTCTGATTCCTCTGGCACCCCCACCACCAGCCACCCATCCGTGTTGAGCCATCTTCTGTTTGTGTAGCACCATGAACAGGCTTGTTTAGGCTGACTGTTTTGCAGGCTGGTGCTAGGTGTGACAGGACAGTGCTGACTCCCTGCTAAGGAAGAGGAGTTCCAAAGCATCACTAGGACACTCCCACTCCCTAACCTGCATCTGAGTATTCAGAGGTCACCATGGCTTTCTTTTTTTAAGATTTATTTTATTTATTTGAAATGCAGAGTTTCAGAGAGGCAGATGCAGAGAGAGAGAGAGAGAGAGGTCTTCCATCCGCTGGTTCACTCCCTAGACGGTTGCAACACCCGGAGCTGAGCCAATCCGAAGCCAGGAGCCAGAAAATTCTTCCAGGTCTCCTACATGGGCACAGGGGCCCAAGGTCTTGGGCCATCTTCCACTGCTTTCCTAGGCCATAGCAGAGAGCTGGATCGGAAGTGGAGCAGCTAGGACTTGAATCGGCGCCCATGTGGGATGCCGGCATTGCAGGCAGCAGCTTTACCCGCTATTGACAGCACCGACCCCAAGTCACCATGACTTTCTTTCCTTGGCTTTCAACCTAATTTCTTGTGAGAATTCTCTGCATTTCTTCTTCCTACCCCCAGATCCTCAGATGCCTGTTTTGTGTGCCTCTGTCTCAGCAAACACTGGGCTGTTTTGCTGGCACTGGGCTCCATGCAGAGAAATCATCCCTGGCACAGATCCTTTTCTGTGAGGGCAGAAAGTCACTGCCTGTCTCTGCATTTAGGAGAATATTTAGCACTCAACACTGTCAGCTGTGTTGCCCCCAGAAGCTCTGGGAGTAGGATATACTTGGCTCAGACCACTTTGTTTTTAGAATGGTCCTGATCCCTTTTGTGATTCCTGTGAAAATTTGTTAATGTCTTTTCTAAGAAACTCACAGCTCTTCCTCTTCTTATTCCCATGTCTAAAAGTTCGCAATTTCTTTGTTTCTCCTGGATCATTAGGCTAGAGTTGAAAAAAAAATCCAACTATGCAGAGGCAATGGCCATTCATTCTGTAAATGTAGTACTTCTATTTTGTTTTAAACATTAATTTTTCATTTGGGAAATATGAGCTGTCCTTTTGCTTGGAATTTATGGCATTGATATTGTCATAATATTGTAAACTCAATGGAAAATATATGGAAGACATTAAACCTTTGGTAAGGAAGAATGATTCACAAATGTTATCTCTTAATTTAACATGCTAAGATATAACAGTATTATTTGAAAAATCAAACTTAAGAAAGTATCGTTTTTAAGTTGAAGACTTTGTTGTATTAAGAAGAAAAAAATGCTGATACTTGTGCTGGAATTTTTTGTATTTCCACAAATGTTTAACTCATTAAGAAGCCACTCAATGCTGGAAAAGCTGTCAGGAATTTTTGTTCAATAAACCCCTCCAGTGAAATATTAGCACACCAAAAATCTCGTGATAGGCAGTCATGCCGTTTTGTTTGACCTGGTCCAGGTTTGCTATGATGAAGGCAAATTTTCAGGATGCACAATTCCTGCACATGTCGTGGGAGAGAAAGGTGTCCATTGAGTTTGACTGAGGACAGAGTGAAAACACCCTGGATTTTTTTCCTCTGGCGTCCAAGGACCTGACACTAATAAGAAAAAATTATGTGCTGCAACTCAGATAAGCCCAATGAGACTCTGGTTTTCAACTTTCTCACAATCCCTCATCTCCACCCTCATAAGAGAACAAAAATTGTACTCTTGGCTCTAGATAAATCATTCTGTTTCAACTTAGGCACTTAAACACATGATCAAATTTGGAGGTCCTGCTTTTCCTTTCTCCTGCCCCAGTGATCGCAATGCTATGTCCGTCGGAAGGGCTCACCTTCATGTGCTATCCTGGATTGGAGGTGGCTGACCTTCCATGCCCGCCATGAGAGATCCCTGGTCCTTGGAGGCTATCTCCATCTGTTGTGGGTGGTACAAATTGAACTTTTTCTTCGAAAAAAGATCTGATGAATTCCTAACAGCTAGGACCTTAGCTTGTGACCTGATTTGGAGATTGGGTCTTTACAGAAGTAACCAATTAAGGATGTGGTCATTGGGGTATCCTTATAAAAGCCAGAAATTGGACACACACACGCACACACACACACGTATACACGAAAGATAATTTGAAGACACGGAGAGAAGGTGGCCATTTCGAGATCAAGGAGAGCCTAGGAACAAACATTTCCCTCCCAGCCCCTTGGAGGAACCAACCTCGTGGGCCCCTTGACTTCAGGCCCTGGCTTCTGGAGCTGTGAGGTAGTACATTTCTGCTATTAAAACCACCCGGCTGGTGGCCCTTCCTTACAGCAGCTCCAGCAAACCAATGCTGCATGAAACATACCCTTTGCCTATCTTTATATCATAGCTTGCAGTAAAACCCTGCAAACAGAAAATTCTTTGTCTCTCCATCTAACATGGTCTTGAAAGTAGAAAAACATTGGATTGCACAACAGTGTCACTGAAAGTAGCTTCAGGAGCATGCTTTGAAAGTTAAGCAACAAAACACATCATTTCCTCTGTCCCCAGTGGGATTCTGCCTTCCTTGGTGGTAGCTGATACCCCAGCAACAGTGCAAGATGCTTAAAAACAGTATTGTGGTACCAGAATATCAGGTTCATAGATTCTCCCTATGTCTGGGCATTGTTGATTTGGGTCCTCTTCCCATTGTCTTGTGAAGCTGTGACTAAGGGTCAGCAGGAGCATTGTCTGGGGTCAGGGTCCTCTTGCAAACTCATGAGGTTGTGGGAGCAATTATTTTTCTTGCATTTGTAGAACCATGGTGATCTACTTCTTCAGACCTAGCAAGAGAGTGATTTACAGTCTCTAATTTCCAGACACTCTTGTATAGAGCTCACCTATATGTCTTCATTTATGGTCAGCCCCACCAAGAATAATCTCCCTTTTGCTTAAAAAGCCAAGTGATTTCAGATTTTGACTACACCTGGGAAACTCCTGCCTCCATGTTCTAGACTTGTTTTCTCATGTAACCCATCAAGGGCTGTGTAGACAGCAATGAGAAACTCAAAGATGGCAGAATCATAGATTCTAGTTATTTGTCATTGAATAAGCTTTGCATTTCTTTGAGATTCAGTTTTGTCCATAATGCTGACTTCAGGAGCTGTTAGGAAGTTACAGATCAGAAGATGGTTGATAGTTTAAAAGCCAGCTATTTGGCTGGCTATTTCAACACATCCACACACACACACACACACACACACACACACGACCACCCTCAGTGCTAAGTACTGACTTTCCTAGTGAATGCCTGAACATGGTCTTTCTCAGAGAAGAATTGGATGTTGCCATAGCAACCACCCAAACCACACTGTGATACCTATTACGGGTCCCTTCTTACTTAGAGAGGGAGCTAACATTCTGTTTCTGGGAGCAATGCAATAGAAATATGCAGCCGTTGCTCAGGAGTTATGATAATCAGAAATAATAAATGTGATTGGCATCAACCTTGTATAAATAATGTCAGCAAGATTAAGATTGTAAAAATATTGGTAAAATTGTAGGCATTCAAAATGACAAACACAAGGTTAGGAAGATGGAGTGATAAGGCACAAGGGAATGATGGATTTTTGAGAAAGGACATATGAGGATCAAGGCCAATAACTTTACAGTAAAAATAAATAGACAAGTAAAAGAACATAAGTAAGAAAAGTTTGAAAAGCAATGGATCCCAAAATTAGCCAGCAAAATGTACAACGTGCCCTTAATGTGGTGGTTTCCAAATTTACAGCTTTGTTTAAAAGGGAAATTTCCTCTTTCAACCCACTCATTTTAGCTTTAATGTGTGATGTCATTTCTTATCTTTAGCCATGCAGAGTAATGTCTAGAAAGCTTATTAACAGTCCAAAATCCTGCTGATGTGACTTGGGTCTGCTGGCGAGCTGCACTTACGTAGTCTTTGTTTTGTGGCCCAAGCCATGATATGTGAGGTCTCAGCTTCCCAGTGAGAGATTTTCTCTGAATTCATATTCTGGCCATCCCTGCACCCATGTACTGATGCACCCACTGATCAACCCTTTGATTATGTGTTTGTCGATTCGTCTGTTTCTATTCCACTGCAACTCAGTAAGCAGGCTTTGACTCAAAGTGGCACATCTCATCAACTCCACTCACAGTCCCGGGGCAGGACCCACCAATATGCCAATTTAAGATGCAAAGGAAACTGCTGAATGCAGCCATATGTGTGCCGAGGAAGAGGAGGGAACAGATTCTGTTGGGGAGGGGGGCTTGCAGTCTACCACAATACTTGTTTCTCAGTATACATGTGAGGATTACAAATCAGATGTAAAATTCTTGACAAATGTCATGCTTGCAACAGTTTTTGAGCATTGCTGTTACTCTTTCATTCAGCAAGCATGTGCTAAGTATTGGTTTCATTGATAATTGTGAAGATTCTACTATAACAATTCTGACAGATAATCACTTCCCTTCAACATTCTGGCTAAAGTTAAGAATAGCTTTGATAAGATTAGAGAAACTATTGTGAACTTCCCTTGAGGATTGGGATGGAGAGCCAAAGGCATGCTGTTTATTTATGTAGCCATTTTACCTTATTTCCAACATTCAGAAATGGGTAACTCCCATATCAGCCTGCATTTCTTTATTTACACAGTGTATCTTCCTTGTCGGTGCCACTGCTGTTATCCTCTAATTACTGTGGAATTCCCATGACATGAAGGAGAACCAAGGCTCTCCCCTGGGTACCAGGATGCCTGAGGAACTGAGAACACACAAGTAAATGTTAGGAAGCCCTCCTAGGAAAAAAAATCTCCAAAGTAGACAGGAAGATCCCTAATGAATGTCTACTGCTGCAGAACTGGTGAAGTACATGTAGATGTTGCTATAGAATTCTTGCCTAAAGCAAATATGCATTTTTTTGTGTGTTTTATGAGGTTGTGATATCAGCCAAGATTATGACCTCAAAGTCATTATTTTCTGAACTACAAAAATCCTTTTTAAAAAATGTTGGATATGTAGGTGGGAGTGCCATATTCTTGTTAATAGTAATATTTGTAAGTTTTAAATCAAATATCTCCAGGTACAGAAACTCAATGTATTTGCTAGCCAGGGCTGCAATAATGAATACTGTAGACTTCATGACTTTAACAAAGGAACTTTATTTTCTCCCAGTTCTGGAGGCTGGAGGTCCAAGATCACAGGGCCACTGGATCATTCCTGTCTGTGACCTCTCTTTGGCTTGTACTTGGCTTCTTCTGAGCCTGTGTCTGACGTTCTTCTATAAAGATGCCGATCCTATGGGATTAGGACCCTCCCTCATGACCACATTTTAACTCGACTGCCTCTGTAAAGACCCTATATTCAAATATACTCTCATTGTGAGGCTCTGAGTGTTAGGACTTCAATATGTGCATTTCGGGGACCACAGTTCTGCCCTTAGCACTCTGTGCCTGCAGAGCACTGGAGGGTGATGGTGATGAGCAGTCGACTGCGGAGTGACTGGGGTGCTGGATGAACTACCAGTCTCTAACACTGGATGTGCCTAAGTGCCCAGCTCACAGCATCTTTTACTGGATTCCCGAGGTTGTCCAACTTTTTTGTCCAAGAAAATACAGAAATAAGGATATTTAAAGAAAAGTACCCAAACATCAAATGTTAGTGACTACCATAAGATAATTATAGGATCATTAGGATATGAGATGAAATGTACAGCAAATAAATGCACTCAGTAACTCTAAAAATCTTTTAAATTACTTTTACATTTGTGGGTCCTGGAGAGCCCCCCAACTCGTCTCTACATATTTAGGCTGGAGTCTCCATTCTTCTAGGTCATGAAAGCCCAGATTTTTTATTTTATTTATTTTATGTTATTTTTGGCGAAATATATGTATCTAATTTTTTTGTAAATTATATGTATACCTAGTTTGTCTGTCCTACAGTTTGAATACTATAGAATATTTTTCAGGTACGTTAAAGCTGGATTTAGATAACAGGTAGTATCTACCTTTAGTCTAGATAGAAGACTCTGAAGTTAACATACCAAGCAGAAATTAGTGTATCATATGTGTAAAATACAACAAATTTTACTCAGATTTAATATCAAACAATCCCCCCAAAATTCCACTCTCTACTTCTGTTTTTTCTTCGAGATAATTACAGAAAGCAGAGATTCTGTGGGCCTGGAAGCATGACCAAAGACTGAGCAAAACACTGCAGAACAGTAGCTCTCACTGTTCTCTTAATCCTTGTCTCTACATAAAACCCCACACACAGGTGCACAAGCACACACTTATTCTAGGTACCCTGAATCAAGACTTCCAGTATTTCAGCCACTCTGATAATGGCACAAATCTAAAGCCAAAAACATCTTCTTATCCCAAAGAGAACAAAATTTATAAAAACACAGATGTGGGTCTTCTTTCCCTCTAAAAGAGAGGTGACCCAGTAACTCCACCTAAGCCACTGCGTGTCAAATGAGACTGTAATCAGAAAGAGTGAGATACAGGTCAGAAGGAGGTTGCGACTGACAATGACAAGTGAATGAGACAAACAGCAGCAACAAAAACTAACACAAAAGTAGAAAAAGTATGTGCTGAGGGAATTCCAAGATGGCTGAGTAGGGAGGGAGCTTACTGCTGTAGTCTGGGAGAAGACAGTCTAAAATAAAGTGGGGAGAGCGCAATCTCAGATAAGAGTTAGAGAGAGGACTGCAGTGCAAACTTCACACAAGTTAGAGGGAGGCTGTGAGTCTACATGGAGGGTGTGGATGTGCAGCACGAACACAGACACGACAAGGACACCAGCAGCCGAGAGCCTCAGCACCAGCTTTGGAGAGTTGGGTGAGACCAGACTGCAGCAGCCCAGGCCACTGGCGATAAAGCTGCAGGGTGAGCCTGACATGAGTCCAGCTTGGAGCTCTGTGGGGGACAGTGTACCTGCCAACATAGAGGCAAAAAGGGGCATGCTTCTCTGTCCCCAAACACCCAGCCACAGTATCCTGTAAGTAGCTGAGAGAGGGCAGGCGCCATTTTGGACATACATAACAGCTACGCCAGCTTGTGCCATGTGCCCAGCAAACGGCTGAGAGCAGATGCCTGAGTCTGGCTGGGAGAACTGACATGGGGCTGGGTGCCCATGAGGACTGTGAGGGGCCCCCAGCCTCCCAGCATGTCACGGGCTCTGAGGCTTACACAGCCTGGGTGAAGTATCCACAGGCAGCTGGCTCTGGGAGTATCTCTGCCTCCATGTGGACAGGATGGAATTGGCATGGAGGAGTGGCTCCTCCGCACCCCATGACTGTGGGAGCCTGTGTGCTGGGACTGTGAATCCTCAGCACCCCATGACTTGGGAGCCTCATGTGCTGGGACTGTGGAAACTTGGTGGCTGCGTGGGAGAGTGCAGGGTGTGGCTGGGTCTCTGGGCAATTGCTGTGGGCAGCTCTACATACTGAGGGCTCCCTGATTGCCTGGGGAGGGTCAATGCTGCAGGGTCAGTGTTCACATTGAGGTCTGTATGGATTCTTTGGTTCTTGTGGCAGTGTGGGTGAATATTGCTCTCACTGGGGCTAGCTCCAGGGCACTTGGAGGAGAGAAGGTGAATTTGAGACTACCCCAACAGAGCTGATCAAACCTTCCCTTCTGATTAAAAAAGATGAGATTCACCACACCTAACTTAGGTGTCACCTTAGATACTCCCCTCACCCTACAGCACTGAACAGAACTCCCTGGCCACAGCCAGCACACACCTGTGAGTAATCATTGAAAGAACAGACACTCCACTAAGCCACAGAGGCATAGACCAAAGATAAAAGCTATCGGGAGGCTGGCGCCGCAGCTCACTAGGCTAATCCTCCGCCTTGCGGCGCCGGCACACCGGGTTCTAGTCCCGGTCGGGGCACTGGATTCTGTCCCGGTTGCCCCTCTTCCAGGCCAGCTCTCTGCTGTGGCCCGGGAGTGCAGTGGAGGATGGCCCAAGTCCTTGGGCCCTGCACCCCATGGGAGACCAGGAGAAGCACCTGGCTCCTGCCATCGGATCAGCGCGGTGCGCCGGCTGCGGTGGCCATTGGAGGGTGAACCAACGGCAAAGGAAGGCCTTTTTCTCTGTCTCTCTCTCTCACTGTCCACTCTGCCTGTCCAAAAAAAAAAAAAAAAAAAAAAGCTCTCGGGGCAGGGGGGACAACAAGTATCTCCATAAATGCCTAAAAATAAATACAGAAATTCAAAAAACAAGAATAAGAAGAATAAGGAAGACAACACGATGCCCTCAAAGAAACTTACAGCACTTCATTCTGGAATGTGAAGATGAAGAGCTTGATGAAATGCCAGAAATGGAATTCAAAAAATTAATCAGAAGATTACTCAGAGTAATCAGAAGAAAATCCAAGAATTAAAGAAATCCATATATAACATGAATGGAAATTTTTCCCATGAAATTGAGATCTTAAAGAGAAATAAGAATGAAATACTAGAAATGAAAATTCAGTCGATCCTATTAAAATGCAGTAGAAGAATCATCAGAACATTTGCAAACACGTGGAGACTGAACAACACGCTCCTGAAAGGTCCACAGCCCTGGCCGTGGCGGCCATCTGGGGAGTGAGCCAGCGGAAGGAAGACCTCTCTCTGTCTCCCTCTCACTGTCTGTAACTCTACCTCTCAAATAAATAAATAAATTCTTAAAAAAAATCACTATTATTAAAATGTCTATGCTATCAAAAGCAATTTACACATTCAATGGGATGCCAATCAAAATACCAAGGACATTCTTCTCAAATATAGAAAAAACAATGCAGAAATTTATATGGAAACACAGGAGACCCCGAATAGCTAAAGCAATCTTATACAACAAAACAAAGCCAGAAGTATCACAATACCAGATTTGAAGATATACTACGGGCAGTTATAATCAAAGCAGCCTGGTACTGGCAAAAAAACAATGGGTAGACCAATGGAGCAGAGTAGAAACTCCAGAACTTAAACTATGCATCTACAACCTACTTACCTTTAACAAACAAGATAAAATCAAACCCTGGAGCAAGGACAGTCTCTTTAACAAATGGTGCTGGGAAAACTGGATTTCCGCATGCAGAAGTATGAAGCAAGACCCCTACCTTAGACCTTACACAAAAATCCTCTGAAAATGGATGAAGACCCTAAATCTATGGCCTGATACTATCAAATTAATAGAGAATGCTGGCGAAACCCTGCAAGACTTTGCATAGGCAAAGACTTCTTGGAAAAGACCCCAGAAGCACAGGCAGCCAAAGCCCAAATTTACAAATTGGATTACATCAAATTGAGAAGCTTCTGTACTGCAAAAGAAATACTCAGCAAGGTGAAGAGACAACCAATAGAAAGGGAGAAAATATTGAAAATTGTGCAGCTGATAAAGGATTAATATCCAAAACGTATAAACAGCTCAAGAATTTCAACAACAAAACAAACAATCTGGTTAAGGTATGGGCAAAGGACTTGAACAGGTATTTCTCAAGAGAGGAAATCCAAATGGCTAACAAACACTCGAAAAAATTCTCAGGATTACTACCCATCAGGGAAATGCAAATCAAAGCCACAATGAAGTTTCACCTCACCCTCATTAGAGTGGCTTTCATATAGAAATCAACAAACTACAAATACTGGTGATGATGTGGGGAAAAAGACAGCCTAATCCACTGTTGGTGGGAATTTAAAATGGTATAGCCACCATGGAAGGCAGTGCAGAGATACATCAGAAATTTGAATATAGGCCTACCACATGACCCAGCCATCCCACTCCTGGGAATTTACCCAAGGGAAATGAAATTAGCATCTGAATGAGTGATCTGTACCCTCATGATTATTATAGCTCAATTCACAATAGCTA